GACAGTCTTCAGTGTCACAGGAGTGTGTTGCTGCCCAGCTGTACATGCTGCCAGACTCACCCGACACCTCCTCCTCACCTGCCCCTTCCCCTTCAGCCATCACCAGGACACAGCCTTGGGCATGATCAGAGGGAGGACTCAGTTGAGAACCCTAGGATCTGTTGGCCAAGACCTGCAGGTTGAACACCCCCAGTGTAGGGCCTCCCCAGGTGGCCAGTACTCTGACTACATCCGGGGGAAAGGCCACCCTTTTCTGAGCATGCCACACCCAGAAAGGGCATAGGACAGGGTGCCCAGGCCCTGCCCTTCTGGACTGGACCTCAGTTCCTGGCTCACCATATTCCTGTGTGGCCCCACTTCTCCACCTGATCCTTCCTGCAGAACCAGAGGTCTAACTGTGACTCTCTAACACACTAACGCCCAGCCTTTAAACCCATAATGGGAGTTAGAGCTACAGTTTATTGAGCACCTACTATGGACCAGACAATATAAATATATTATTTCATTTAATTGTGCAACAATCCCATGTGATAGGTGTTATTATTACTCTCATTTGAAAGATAAAGCCCCTGAGGCTCAGAGAAGTTTAGTGACTTTCCTAAGTTCAGGATCCTTGAGAGAGCTCTAATAAATACTACATGATTTCAACAGCTTTTCAGAGTGAGATTTGAAGTACGTTTTAATGAGACAAAAGTTTAATGTGGAAGTAAGTGAATCCCCAAAATTTGCAGATATATTCCAGGTAAGTAAATTCTACTTATTCTTCAAGGTTGGGTTCGATTCTACCTGCCCTATACAGCCGTCCCAGATGGCTCCCTCCCACGAGGCATTCCCACCTCCTGAGCTCTGCTCACACCTTGACTGTCTCCCACCACAGGCGGTGTTTCACAGGCTTCCCACTCATCCACCGCCAGAGTATCGGGGCCCCAAGAATTGGGTCTCTGCCTTCTAATTTTTTTGAACCCCTTTGGTGCCTGAGAGTAGATGCCAAGATTCCCCTGATTAAGAGACCTGAACACTGAGAGGAAGAGATGCAGTTATTTTTAAGCCTTCACCGCCAAATCCCATCCATTTTCAAAATGTGCCCCAAACTGTCCAATCTCCAAGCAGCTTTTCTCACCATACCTGTTTGAGTGAGCAACCTCACTGCCAATAACCATTTCCAACACCCATTACAGTGAAGAAAAAATTTAGTGGCTGATTTGGACAGATCTACGTGGAATTCTGCTTCAGTTGACCCAGAACAGTGATCTTGAGCATTTAACTTTATTCTTCTGAGCCTCAGGTTTGCTATTTATAAAATGTGAATCTATGTATCTGCCTCGCAGGGCTGAGGGACTTTGTTACAGTGTGAATCTGTGTATCCACCCCACAGGACTGAGGGACCTGTGTCATAGTATGGTTCTATGTATCCACCTCATGGGCCTAAGGGACCCGTGTCACAGTGTGAATCTGCATATCTACTTCACAGGACAGAGGCAGCTGTGTCACAGTGTGGTCCTATGTATCTGCCTCACGGGCTTGAGGGACCTGCGTTATAATGCATTTGATGTAATGCCTGCAGAGAAGACATGCTCCGAAATGGTAGTCATATTCATTGCAGTCAATAATTCATCAAAGTGCTAAAGTGCCCCACAAGGAAGGCATTTACATACATGCGTTCTGATCTGCTAGAGCAGTGGTTCTCAAACTCTGGAGTATGTCAAAATAACTTAAAATTAAATTACCTAAGTCACACCACAGATTCTGCTGTGGGGACAGCAGAATCCCCATTAGGCTGGGCAGATTGTGGGGCCTGAACAGCTCTACTTTTAACAAGACTCCCCACCACTGCAAGTGATGCTGATATGTGCTCACTAAACCTGGTAAATTCTGCTGGTCAATATTTGATTCCCAAATTCTTTTCCATGGAAATTTGAGGTTCCAAAGATACTTCCAGACCCATGGTTTCCAAACTTGTTTGGAATATATCCATGTCTGAGCACAATCTTTAGAGATTCAGATGTTGGTTTGGGATATGACCAGAGTGTCAAGATTTCTAAAAAATGGACAAAGAATTCTAATAATCAGCCAAGGTTAAAAACCACTGCTCCCTAGGGATCTAGATCCCAGGCTTTCATAGTATGTCTCTGAGGTTTCAACCAGAGCAGCTCAGCTTTTGCCTTTGTAACAAAGTGAGCTTCCATCTAAGGCTGATTTTGCACAAAGGATTCTTATGCTTTAAAAAAAATAGTTTGCAAACAGCTGTTCTAGACTGTCAGTAAGAACTTTCAGCTCCCCACCCCCAATGTGGTTTTTATACCTTTGTGTCTGTCCCAGAGCCTGACAACATAGTAGATGCTTAATAAATATTTGTTGGAAGGCTGAATAGTTTTGTTTTATTTGTTATCTGGCTCCCATTAAGTTTTCAGTTGCCTAGCATAACAGTCTAACAGTTTCTTAAACATCTAAGCCCTAACAGCCTTCGCCTCAAACCTCAAACCTGAAACAGAGAGTGAGGCAGACAGCCATCCAGAGAACACACTGACATTTCTTCTGGGGTCACATATACTATGCAAGCTCCTAATCACTAATAAACATAAGCAAATGCGATTCTCATCAGCCAGGAAGAGCGTGACATTCATCGGCAGCACAGGCCTCCCAGGCTAATATTTGGATTATTTCATCTGAAACTGTCAAATTACAAGAGCATGATAAAAACTTGTAGGAACTTCATAGTAAACAGTAACTGGCCCCTTGTCAATAAGTTAGAAAAGAAAATCTGCCTGCTGCCAAAACGCACGGGCCAGAAAGCCTGGAGCCCAGGCCGGCAGCCAACGAGAGCCTGTTCCCTGGGCAGCTTTTCTCGGTTCCCAACCACAGAGGCTGGAAGAGAGTTCCCCGAGGACGCTAAGGATCTGGGAGTCAGTAGCACCTTCCAGTCGCAGCTTTTTCTGTGGCTTTATTTAGGACTCGGAGTGGCTATTTAACACCTAAAGTTCTCAGATTCCTCACATGTAACATCTACTTCATTGGGTCCTGAGAGTCATGACTGCCTGGGTTCAAATCCTAACTCTTAACACACTAGCTTTGTAGCCTCAGGCAAGTCACCTCACTTCCCTGCGCTGCCATCCCCTCACCTCTACGACAAGGGTGTTAGCACCCATCCGATAGGGGTGTCAGCGTGAAGCGCGAGGAGCAGCGCCTGCCATGGAGCGGGCATGCAACAAGCCTTAGCTATTACACACCTGCAATTCCGAAACCAAGAGTTCTGAAAGCCAAGTTTTTGTCTTTCATTTTCTTTTATCATTTTTGTCAGTTTGATACCAAATTCATCGGGCGGCGAACCTACCCCTAACAAACATAAGGCTATTTAAGGTCTCTTTTATCCCACGTGATGTGAAAATTCATGTTTCACTGCAGAAATAGTAATGTGTTTGATTATGGGACGCTGCCTCACACCAGAGAAGGAATGATATTAATGTGTGAAATACGCCCTAAACTGCCTTTCTAAAATCTGAACAGTTCTGAATTCTAAAATGCACTGGCAAAAGCATTCCCTGGGAGGGACTGGTGAGCTGTGTTCCTACAGGGCAGGGTCAGAATGAAAGGAGGTAACATACGATAGCCCTCAGCTTCAGTAGCAGCAGACCCTCCATCCAGACCGACACTGCCGGGGACTTGGGTTTCTAGGCAGGAAGAGAGAGAAGGAAACACCCTCTCCCAGCTGAGCCCTCTCTTTCTCTCCCACTGACAGGTCCTGCCAAGCCATGAAACTCTCAGCTCTTTTCTATCAGCCCAAATATGGTTTATCCCTCAGAATTCAGCTAAAATATCTTCTCTGTGAAATGATTCCTTACCCCAACTCCTGATGACCAGGTTAAGAGCATGTGGCAAGGAGGCTCGATGGGTTGCATCTCCTCTCCACCTCCAGGCCCTGGCAGGGACAGTCTGCAGTGCTGGGCTGAGAAGGACTCTCACATAGCATCTAGCCACAGTGCTAAAGGGTGGCCATGCGTGCTGACGTCTGAACTGCAACTGACAAGAGAGGCATGGTCACCCACCTGACAGGCTCATACCTGCCTGCAATGGGCATTAACTCGGCTTGACCACTAAATTAGATATGTCTTAAGCACAGAAACCGTATCTTACACTATCTGTTCTCTGTTATTGTCAATGCTTTTTTATAAATATTCTCTCAGATTCTACCATGGGTCTAGGCCATGTAATCTGTAAATACTGCTTTTTTCAGTATCTGTCAAGCTTTTGACAGGATTTTCTCAGCATCTGTATTCCTGCCTTACCCGTGGGCTCTGCCTACTTTGGCGTATTTATGCTGGCATAGCCAGGGAAGCTTCTCAGCGCTATACATCTATTTTAATGCCACTATGCCATTTCTATACTTCATGTTTTGTTGAGACTCTAAACAATGTGTAGGTCCTTAATTAGACATAGCCTCAAAGCTGTGTGTTTACTCAAAATGTTTTGTAGAAACTTTCTAGAAAAGTTCACAGAATCCTGAAACATACCACCTGAGAGCAGGTAACACTTGAGACATTCAACTTGTCCAAGGATTTGAAACCCGTGAGGTTAAAAGGCACCTTGGATTATAAGGTACCTTGTCCTCAGCTCAAATCCACACAGCCTAGGGCCAGGGTTCTCCTTTCCTCCTGCACCAGGCAAGCAGCACTGGGAGGGAGGTCTCCGCACTTGGTCCCCTTTTCATCCTCCACAGGGCCTCCCTAAGGTTGATGCCTAAGGGCTTCTTAGAATTAGCTTCACTTTGAAGACTATTCAGAACCACAGAGTGGGGTGGGAGTGGCCTCAACGCTTTAAAAGGCTGCAAATAAATCAAAAGATGAAAGGAGATACATGGAGCCAAGAATTCCTCCCCACCCAGCAGGAGCAATGCATTACCCCAGCAATCTGTGGTGCAGAGCGGCGTGCGGCACGCGGGGCACGGAGACTGGGCAAGGGCCTTAGCGGGTGGCGGGTGGGCAGGGGTCGGGGAGGGCGTGTACCTTCTGTCCGCTGTGGGTTCTCGGACCCGCGCCTGGGGGTGCCGGCTGCCCCTCAGTACCGGGCCCTGGCGGCTGGCGTTGATGCCCACGGGGACGCGAGACTCCTCGCGGCTCCGGTGAAGCGGCACCGACGTGCGCACGGCGGACACCACGTGGCCAGAGAAGGCGTGCGCTGGGGCTCCCGGCCGCGGGCCGCCGCGCGAGCGGTAAGATCCGGGCAAGCACGGCCGCGTCTGCTCCATCACGCCGCCGCTGCAACTGCGGGAGCAGGCGGACCAGGGGCCCCAGGCGCCCCAGACGCCTGGGACGCCGCTGCCGCTGTCCTCGGAGCCGCCCTCGGCCGCTGCCATTCGCTGAGGCACCTGCAGAGACAGAGGTCTGTTAGGGGACCAGGACACCCGCTCCTGCTTCGCTCTCAAAGACTGTGGATAACCTGACAGGCTTGTCCATTAGGCACAAGTAGGCACAGGGCCTGTTTTAAAATTTGAAAAATAAAATGAATATAATCCCACCTGGATTGTATTTGTTTTTATACCTGCGCACTCATAAAGTATAATTTTAAATATTTTTTATGGAGGAAAGGACTCACCAAGGCACAAGTGCTTAGGGCTTAGGAAAGTAATGATGCAGTCCTTGCTTTGGGTGCCAAGGCTTTGGAGAGCTCAGTGTGGTGCCCTCACCTCCTAGTGAGGCTCTCCCCTCGCTGGGGAGTTCCCTTAGCATCAGTCAGGCTGGAAAGGGATTTAGGGCAAAATCGAACCTGTGCATAGCAGAGAGCCTGGCACTACATATTCAGTCACCTTTTTGACATTCTTCCTGCTTCCACAGTGAATCAAGGGAGGTGGAAACATCAGAAAGTTTTACAGTTCTGTCCAGAAGGTGAGTGTACACTCCTGTTTATTTAACTGGCCGTTTCCCAGAGACCTACCCACCAGGCCTGGCATGGTGCTAATGGTGAGTGCATAGTGTGCCTTCATTATGTAGACATGGCTGAGCACCAGCTGTATACCAGTACTGAGTTAGTACCCGAAGACAAAGAGAAAAGCACCTCAGGTCCATACATATGGCCTGGATGCAGCAACAGAAGAGCTCTAAAGAGCCAGTGCAAGGTTGGGGGAGGTCCTGGGGGTAGACAGGGGGAGGCGGGGCTGGGGCATTGAGAAGGCATCAGAGGTGGGATCAGAGTAATAGGTGAAATCACACAGATTACAGGTGTGATCACACCTGGCCCACTGAGTGCCAGGGAGATGTGTAATCTCCAGTCCTCACAGCAGCCCTGGTTACTGCCACTCTCACCTTTCAGAGGTGAAGTTCCCCAGCTGAGGTTGTGGTGTGTGACCTGCCCTAGTCACGTCATTTCAGCAAGGCTGGGACTTAAGTCTACCCAGCTCCCTGCTCTCTCCCCAGCAGAGGGCTGCTTTTGTGCTTCGGGACCCCTCATCTGGAATGTCCTTCCTTTCCATGGGACAAGCAACACTGTGACTTTCCTTAGAAGGCAGGTTTTTCAGTAATCCTCAGGCTTCCAATGAAAATGCAAAAATGTCTCCAGATTATTTTAGCTCCCCCTTTTTTAGATGTTGGCTTTGGGCAGCATTGTTTAGCCCAAGAGCTCAAATACGTTTCACACTTGCACTCCTCCTTTCTCCCCACACTACCCCTGGGCAGTGAGAAAGTCCAGGGACTGTCTGCCCCTCTGAGTGGAGCACACTGAGAAAGCTGGGTTCCTTCACACCACGGATGGAAATGAGAGATGAAGCTCACATTATCTCGGAGTGGGCTGTGAGGAGCCAGAGGAAACCCAAGTGCTCAGCAAGTGCCATCACTCACCACTGCTGTAGCCAAACTCTGTCACTAAAAGCAAGGACTCAGCTCATGGGTAGAGGTCTTGCCCCCAGGCATGCACTCAGCCAGCCTGAGGCCATGGGACTGGTTCAACTGGGGCCACTTCCTGTCACCTGCATTCCAGTACACAGAGTAATTTCGGGTTCCAAAAGGTTCGGGGTGTAACCAAGGGAGGATGAGTAAGAAAGGGGAGCCAGGGAGCAAACTAGAGTCTACGCAGAGGCTGAAGTCCAGTGCGGGGTGTCAGACAGCCACGAGGGCCGAGGACGATGGGGTTGGAGCACAGGCACCGCTGGAAGTTCCCTGATGGGACGGCTGCAGCTTCGTGCCGCCCACATGTGAGCAATGTGAGTGGCAGATGGGGTGAGCACCGAAACAATGAATGCCCTCCACTCATGGCTGCTACACTGGGGGCCCCGGAGAGAAGGCTTTTTGCCTGCTTATAAATACCAAACAAATAAAAAAACAAGCTTTTGTTCTTCTTCTCTTACCCTACATGTCCTGATTTATTAATATCAAATTGATGGTGGGTTCACTGAGGTGGTTATAAAAATGCCTAATCAGGCCACAGTCTTGATACAGAAAGGAATCCCTAAACTGTGGGTAGTGAGTTGAATGGTGATCCTCCCCAAAAGATATGTCCGCACCCAGACCCAGAACTTGTTAATGTGACCTGATTTGGAGAAGGGTCATTGCAGATGTAATTAAGGATCCTGAGATGAGATCAGCCTGGATTTCCCCGGTCGGCCCTACATCCAATGACAAGTGTCCTTGTAAGGATGAGGCCATGTGACCACCCATGCAGAGACTGGAGTGAGGAAGCCACATGCAGGAAGGCCTGAGTCCCCAGGAGCTGGAAGGAACAAGGAGGGAGCCACCCCCAGTAGGGAGCACTTGCAGGCCTGGCAGCACCTGGAGTTTGAACTCTGGCCTCCAGAAGTGTGAGGGGATAAGTTTCTGGTGTTTTGAGCCATCTAGTTTGTGGTAATTTGTTATGACGGCCCTAGGGGACCAATACAGTGTGTTAGTACTTCTAAGACAAGGCGGGAAAGTGGACAGACATTTGCAGAGCACCTTTTCTGTGTCCAGCACTGTGCAGACAGCTCTTGTGCGCAGCAGTGGGTTCTATGGCACAGGCCTCTCAGCCTTCCTGGGAGGTTGGTGTGACTTTGTCACTTTTACAAGGAAAAACTGAGGCCCCGAGAGCTGTATGACTTGCCCACGGTCTCAGACTAATGAGGGGCACAGACGGGATTATAACTGAGGTCTCCTGATTCCACTCTAGTGTTCTTGTTTTTCCCCTGCCGCATGTCCCCTCCCTGCCAGTGCTGGCCAAGAACAGAAGGGTGAAAAGAGAAATAAATCCACTTGGATGGTTCAGTACTGTAGAAGGAGAGTCAGGATAAACAAACGAAGACAGACTATGTTTCTGACACGTTTGGGGATTTCAGTTACCACCATGGTAACACACATAACTAAGAAACTGTCTACACCGTTTGTGTTAGATGTGCAGCGATACTAAAAATCCACTTCCTACAAATAATCCTCCTCTTAATTTACTTTCCTGTAGCCAAATTGAGCAGGGTCCCTGGGAGAGAGGGGACATGAAACCACATTCCATCCTACCCTATTCATAAGAATTCTCTAATATATGGTTGAATTGTGGTGAGTGATTTGAAATTCTGTCTCAGTCCCCATGGTGTAGATCTAACCACATTCCCAGAGTTGTGTTTTTATAGTACACAGCCAGAAACAAAGGGAAAGGGGGCAGAAAAATAGAAAGGAAGGAAGGAAGGTAGGAGGAAATCCAGAGAAAGAGAAAAAAAGGAAGAAAATCCAAGAAAAAAAATAAAGGGAGGACGCCTCGTGTGTCAGCCTCCTAGTCCCACCCAGCGCTCACCCGCCCTCCGTGCCTTCCCACCCTTCGAAGGACGCTCCTCCCTCCTTCTTCCTGATAGTCGTGGAGTTCTCTGTCAGTCAAGATGGGAAAACTTCCAAGTCTTCTGTGACATAATATTCCTGAAATTAGGACTAACAGGACCTCTTTTAGTCAGTGACAAACAACAAAACCAAAGAATAAATCATGGTAAGAGACAAAAACAAACCATCGACGGTAACCCGCCAGCACGGTGCCCCTCCCCCACACCCCCCACCTGCGGGCACATGTGTGAACATCAGAGCGGAAAACCTGAGGCACTTCTAAAACGCACCCCAAATGCTGATGTCCTCATTTACAAAGAAGTCAACCAGTCAGTGAGAAAAAGACAAACAACCCAATGCAAACAGGGACAGAGGGCATGAACGGGTAGTTTACAGCCATTATGGGTTGAATGTTTGTGTCCCCCTCAAATTCATATATTTGAAGCCCTAATCCCCAATAAGACAGTATTTGGAGATGCGACCTTTGGGAGATAATTAGGTTTAGAGAATGTCATGTGGGTAGGACCCTTGAGATGGGATTAGCTTCCTTAGGAGAAGAAGAAAGGATAGACTTCTCTGTCTCTCTGCCATGTTGAAGACCTAGCAGGAAACCAGCCGTCTGCAAGCCAGGAACAGTCCTCACCAGGGAAACAAACCTCCCAGCGCCTTGATCTTGGACTTCCTAACTGCCAGAACCGTGAGGATAAACCACCCAGTCTATGATATTTAGTTACAGCAGTCCAAGCTGACTAATGTAACAGGAAAATATATGAAAACAATTTAACATCATTATCACCAAATAAATACAAAATAAAGCAACAGAATTCCATGTTATACCCAATAGATTAGCAAAGATTATAAAATGTACAACACTGCAGTGGCAAGAACATTCACTGCTAATGGGAGTCTACATTAGGGTGGCTTCTTTGGAGGGAGATTTGCAATATCTATCCAAATTTTAAATGCACACAGCTCTATCTCCAGTAGTTCACTCTAGAGAAATTCTCAAAAATACTGCATAAAACCGTGTAAATTGTGTTTATAGACTTTCACTGCAACCTGTTTTGTAAGAACAAAGTCCAAAAAGTCTGGAAACAAAATAAGCCTGCTTCAGTGAAATCTGATCTGTCCAAACAATGGGATACAATCTATGTGCACAGTAAGGTGGGCGTACCTGTCAAAGTGAACAGCTGTTTATAGTATACTAATTAGTGACGGGACAAAAAGAAGTATATTGAGAATAAACCTATCTGCAGATATTAAGCATTAGGTTGAAACACAAACAATTACTAAAATTTGACCACTCCTGATATACAAAAATGCAATTTCATGATTCACTGCTTCAAATAATTCAACGTGATTCAACCTAACATGAGTAGCTTCCAGCAATGAAAATAGCCCAATTAGAAAATCTTTCACAACTAAACTGGGCAGCATGAATGAAAAACCAAAATGTAGTATGACCTACGAAGAGTGAAAAACCAAAATGTAGTGTGACCTACGAGCCTACCTACCACCACCTTCATGTAACTGGCTGGTTGGCCCTGGGAGACGGAGTCAGTAAAATTCATCATCGTGCATGAGCGCACAGGACTTCTCC